ACTCTATCGCAATGTCATCTGCTTAATTTGGACATCATGCTTATGAATATCCTATGCATTGTTATTCATCAGTATGTACTTCATCTGTCTACCATACCATGTTTTTTACATTGAAGTGTTGTTCTAGTGCTCTGTTGCAATGCCATCTTAGTTTCCCAATCATACACGTGTATGTTGCCTTAGTTATTTCTGTACGTATTCCGCTAGCATACAGTTTTACATTCAACTAGTGTTTTTTTGCTGTGTTGTCCCGTTGTATCCCTAGCTCTTACACCATACTCCCTCCGTCCGGATTACATGTTGCCGAAATGGATAAAAAAGGATGTATCTAGAACTGAAATACGCCTAGACCCATCCATTTTTTTCCGGATGGAGGGAATACATGTCAATATGTCATGCCTTTCTATTCTTCAATACCTATTCCATCTCTCTGTTGTCGCATGTTTTATAATTAAAGCACCATTCTTCTATACAAGGCATGCAAGGGGAAGACAACTATGTTAGAATCTGAAGGGTTACAAACAAGGCCTTTGCAAAAGATCCAAACGCCAGGAGATAATAAACCAACTCCAGTTTTTATAGATACTGCTCCAGCACAGAGAAACCCAACTCCTACTGATAATAAGCAGATTCCAGTGGCCAAAGAACTAGTCCGCTCCAGTTCAGCAAAAATATGTCAACTCCATTCTAAGAAGCGTGTGCGTATCCTTGCATCATGAAATTTTATAGCATGCTGATCATATTTTCTACATGTTTCTTACCCATCTCTCTTTTAGAAAATAAGCTTAACAGATAGAAGCATTTCTGCAATGGTATGTTTATGAGGAAAGATTCTTGCAGGAATTCTCTATGCTCCAATGTAGATGTAAGTACCTGTTGTATATCATTATATTTCTACATTAGCATGTATTTTGTGAATCGGCATGAATCCAACATTTATCTGATCTAAATTTAGTTGTAGCAAAATGTATGATTAAAGGCCACAATGTTAATTTTTGTAAGGAAAACTGCCTGGTAGTTTTGCATCCTGAGCTGCATGAGTGTACTATCTCATATCAGTGTGTTTGAATACTTTGGTTCTGTAGTGGGTTTCAGTGTTTTTAGTGTGTTGTCCTGTCGTATCCCTAGCTCTTACATCATACTCCCTCCGTCTGGATTACATGTCACAGAAATGGATAAAACTGGATGTATCTAGAACTGAAATATGCTTAGACACATCCATATATTTCCGGATGGAGGGAATACATGTCAATATGTCATGCCTTTCTATTCTTTAGTACCTATTCTATCTCTGTTGTAGCATGTTTTATAATTGAATCACCATTCTTCTATATAAGGCATGCAAGGGGAAGACGGCTATGTTAGAATCTGAGGGGTTACAAACCAGGTCATTCCAAAAGATCCGAACGCCAGGAGATAATAAACCAACTCCATTTATCATAGATACTGCTCCAGCACAGAGAAACACAACTCCCACTGATAATAAGCAGATTCCAGTGGCCAAAGAACTAGTCCGCTCCAGTCCAGCAAAAGAATGTCAACTCCATTCTAAGAAGCGTGTGCGTATCCTCACATCATGGAATTTTATAGCATTCTGATCATATTTTCTCCATGTTTCATACCCATCTTTCTTTTAGAAAATAAGGTTAAACGATAGAAGACTTCCTCCATTGGGATCGTATTCGAGGAAAATATCTTACGGGAATTCTCTGTGCTCCAATGCTGATATAAGTACCTATTGTATATCACTATATTTTTACATCAGCATGTATTTTGTTAATCGGCGTGAATCTAACTTCTATCTGATCTAAAATTAGTTGTAGCAAAATGTTAAAGGCGCCAATGTTGATTTTTGTAAGGAAAACTGCCTGGTAGTTTTGCATACTGAGCTGCATGAATGTACTATCTCATATCACGCACATTACTGGATTGTAGTGCTTCTCTGGTTGCCCATTCATTCATTGTGTCAATGTTGCTTTCGTATTACCTTACGTGGCTAATGATAGCTGTGCCATATTGTGTTAATTTGGTGTAGGCTAGTTGCCCAAATGTTCGTTGTGTCAATGTTGCTTTCCTATTATCTGACTTGGCCAATGATAGCAATGCTAGTGTGTTAATTTTGTGCAGGCTGCTGAAGATAAGAAGACAAACTCTGAAAACAGCAAGGCAACCCCATTGTTCCTTTCCAGTAAATCTAGGCCAGGTAGTATGGCAATAACTCATGATTAATCTGTTTGGTTCCCGTCCTAATTTCTGTTATGATGTAGTGGTCGAGACACTCTCCACTATCAATAATACAAGCCTGCCAAAATTGCCATCTGAATCTGTTCAGTATCGTCTATCTCGAATGCAACAGAATAAATGTATGTTTGTGAACCAATTAATGGCTGAAGCAATGATGGAAATGGTGGATGAATCAGAGGTGCAGAGTCGTGCGACACAACAACTGATCAATGTTTTCAGAGACAATGTAGCAAAGTAGCAAGAACTTGCCCACATGCTTATGGGCGTCATCTGTGCTGAGGTTACAGATTGTGACGTTGTAGATGGTTAGGTTCTGCTCATTTATTTGCACTAGCATCAATCTTTGATTGCCTAGTGGATGTAATTTCCTGTAATATATGCTGGATGTGCAATGTTATTCCCTGTATGCCGTACCTTTGCTTGATCGGTTTTGGTCCTGTGCATAATTGCTCATCGTAATGGGCTCAAATTATCTAATTTGGCCTAAAGACATGTACGAACTTTAGTGGGCCCATTAAATTAATGGGCCATTACTAGGCCAGAAGTTAATGATCGGCCCTCTTACCTCCCGGGTCGTTAACAGGCCGACATCGAAGCGGGCAACAGGTGGGCCCAATTTATTTCACGGGCCGTTAACAGGCCATTACTAAGTTTGGGCTACATATGGCCCAACTATACTGTAGGCCCTTAGCAGGCCGAAAGAGACAGCGGGCTTGTACTGGACCATGAAGAGCATGGGCCGCTAAGAGGCCAAAAGTCAGGTCGTATTGTAAATGGCCCAACTGTGTTGTGGGCCTTTAGCAGGCCGAAAGAGAAATCGGGCTGGTATTGGCCATGAAGGGCATGGGCCGTTAAAAGGCCAAAACTAAGGTCCGACTACAAATGGCCCAACTCATTTATGGTCCATTAACAGGCCGAAAGGCACACATGGCAGGGAATTGGCCCAACACTTAAATGGGTCGCTAAAAAGCCAAAACTCAGGTCTGACTACAAATGGCCCAACTGATTTATGGGCCGTCAACAGGCTGAAAGTGAAACCGGGCCGGAAATTGGCCCAACACTTAAATGGGACGCTAAAAGGCCGCAACTCAGGTCTGACTACAAATGGCCCATCAGATTTATGGGCTGTTAACAGGCTGAAAGACACACCGAGCCGGAAACTAGCCCAACATTTAAATGGGTCGCTAAAAGGCCGAAAGATGTACATCCTGAAAATTGGCCCATCCATTGAATGGTCCGTTAACAGGCCGAAATCTCATCGGGCCGATATTGAGCCCAAATATGTAGCGGGCTGTTAACGGGCTCAAACTGACGATGGGCTACAATAGTGTCAAATCTTTAACGGGTCGTTGACGGGCCGAATTGGCGCATGTCATATGGGCCATGGGCTTAAATGGACCTGACACAAGTAGGCCTTATATGGGTTGGCCTGCTAATTTTTACTGGGCCGACCTTTTTCACCGGAATGGGCCACTGTTGGGTCGTGCCACATGTCGACCTATCATAGGCGCCTCCTATCCAATGAGTGGATGACATCTGTCCCAACGGTGAGGCAACACGTGTTTCCTTCGGCCAATGCTGATTTTACACGTGGAAAATCCCCATTGGTCCGGGCTGTTAACGGGTTATCAGATCCAAAACCAGACCCGATAGCTTAACAGCGTTCCGTTACGGTTGATGCCACGTGTCGGTCACCCTTGACGAAAGCACTTCTGTGACGCGCGATTTATCGTCATGGAAGTGGACACTTCCATGATGATAATTTTGGTAATGTCATGGAGCACTTCTACGACAGCACAGGTATGACTATCTTGATTCTGTCATAAAATCGTCATGGATGTACATGCATGACAAAAAACGTGACCTACTGTGACAAACACGTATCATCACGGAAGTGTATTTTTTTGTAGTGCGCATAGGAGAGCCAACCTAGCAGTCCCATTTTCAAAAATAGGCATATTGATTGTAATTCTATATGCTACTAATATGGAGCATGATAGTATGGAAGAATGCACTCAATGGAGATGCTAATACTAGAGCATGCATGCATTTACTAGCCATGCATAGCTAGAATCCAATGTGCAAGTAGTTGGGAGCATGCATTAGCCTTGATTTAGATGCATGTGGTGCTAGCGAATTTTCTCAACAGCTTTCTACCTTTTCGCAGCTCATTCCTTCGAGAGAATATATAGAGTGTGTGCTGCAACGTAAGACCATGATGTGGCATCGCTACATAGTACGATCCATTAAAAATAATAATGCATGGCGGATGGTAAAAACAAATGAATCGAAAAGCTTTTGGACTAGAGGAACATTTTTTTCTAGTACGGATAAGTAAGGAAAAACCATCAAACCATCATTTGCAAGTACAACTTTGAAAACATTACAACAATTGATCATAGTACTGATTTGCATGTCCAAATGCTTCGTTACATGCACAAAAGGTATAACACACTGAAAAGTAAGGTGCTCTTAGGAATACTATCTCCAGCCTACAGCAAGAATTCTAAGTACATTTCATCATCATCTCATACGGATGCAACTAGTTGTAAGGAGTTGCAGTTTTGCAGATTTGAGCTGGAACACTAGAGTAACAATTAAGGGGAGACGAGACACATCTTAGTTGAATGCACTTGCAAAGATATGATCCATCCCTCCTTAACTAGGACTAAGGTACCCTAATTACTACTGAATCAATGTTCGTGCTGCCTCTCACCATCCCAAGCATAGTGGTATCTACCTTTTCTCAAGAATTATCAGACCTTCATCTCATCGTCAACAGACTTGTGTGACTTTTTGTTGGACATGATGCTATTGAAGTTCTCTGATTTACACAGCAAGATCTCAATCTGAAACAAATGACAACAATAGATAATGAAGGTTTTATGCATGGATTCATGTCACAAATCAATTTTCACTAGTCATGAGACATGTAAAGTCAAGGCATCTTGCCTTGGCTTTACGGACGAGTCGCCCCTTTGACTCATCTTTGGTGCCAATTGTTGATGTCAGGATCTCTGGAAGGGGAGAGGAACAAAAACATTGAAAAATTGAAGTGTAATTTACTATTATTATATGAGGATAAGTTTGATTATTTAGACCATATACAACAATTATGTGGCTTACTCTTTTCTGTGGCCAAGCCATTGTTCTTTAGGATTTCCGATACAGTCACAACAGTGCCAATGGCTGGAACAAAAATTGGCTTAGAAATACATAGCCAACAATGAAGATTAACAAAAACATCAAGCAGTAAAAGGCAAGGTGAGTAAGCATTCGTTACCCATCCCCAAAGCAGAGAGTTCAACCTCATCATAGTTCTGCATGTACCTCTGCAACCAACAGTGTTACGAGTGAGAGAAATAGCATGCTAATTCGGTCCCTTTAGAACAAAAGATTCATGAAATTTCAATGCCAAGAAGTAAACTAGCAAAATATATCCTTGGCCTATTGTCCATATATTGTAAAAGAAAAATGATAGTTACCGAGGTTTTGTGTTCGTTGATATCATTAGTTTCATTCTATTATTCTTAACTTTATTATTCAGTTGCCTGATATTAACCAATTTCATTATATTGTCCATTGTATGCAAGGTCATTGATTGGCCATTTTCTAAACTATGAAAATATAAGCATTTGACTGCAACACGACCCATTGTTAATGTGAACCAAAAAAGGTTGCTCATGAGTTGCCTCTGGTGGTTTTGGGCCTTGGCGTTCTTGTGTCTGGCTCACAAGATGTTCCGTGATGTTGGGAGTATGTGTGTGTTCGTCTTAATCCTAGCCCCAAGCTCGAGTGTTTTTTGTCTTTCGTGTTTGTATTTGGTTTTCACTCAGTTTTTCTTACATAAAGGAGATGTGTATGGGTTTTGAATCCAATTTCTCTCACTAATAATATCAACTCTCCTCTTCATAATGCAATTGTGGGAGCTCTCTGCCCCGTGACGAGGTTCCATAAAAAATTACCCATTTTTGCATGGAAATATAAAAGAACTATCCTAGTTCTGTTCCAAATCATTTGATTTGGATAAGGCATACCTTGGCGAGGTTAACGTAGAAGTAAAGCGGCTTCTTGTTGGTGGACACCTGGATCCGATTCTTCTTGGCCGACACCCCAGCCTCAGCCTCGATATCCGCCTCCACCTCCATCTCCTCGGCTTCCACCTCGGCATGGGCAGCTTTCTGCTCTCCCACCACCGCCACCTCCTTCTCCTCAGGCGTCTCCTCCTCCACCGCCTTCACCACCTCCCTGACCTCCTGCGCCTCCGACTCCCCCATGTCCTGCGCATGCAGCTGCTCCACCGCCTCCTCCCTCGCTGCCGGCCTCACCGCTTGCATGGTGGCTAGAACGCTTGATGGTGTGCGTGCGTTGGTATGGGACAATGAGAGAGAGAGGTCGCGAGTGGATACCCGGCCACGGTGGTGCATACAAGTAGCACTAGAAGCCTGGCACCGATGGTTGCGATCGTTTGTGTGGTCACCCGAAGGTGGCGGTTGCCCTAGTGGTTATTCCTGGTGCATATATGTGCATGCTTTCATCCATCTGGATCGGGGGATAGATTAACGAGAATTTCAAATATCATAAAATCTACATTGCATAGGTGTGGATGCATGCGCTCGGATGTTGTGGAATGCCAATGAGATCTTGCCTATATAAAGAGCACATGCATGCATGGAGGAACCTCACACATCATGCGACACATTAACTTTCAAATCATTTTTAAATGATTTATCTCACAAAGCATTAATACGATTTGCGATCCGTCATCACTGATGAATTCGCCTCGACGAGGGCTTCAAAACAAGATCTTATATTGATACATTTTGAGAATAGTTTCTTTGGTCCTCATTAGTTGTCACATTATGTCACCGAGGTTGTCATTTTAAGAGTGAATGGTCTCCATGAAGATTATGCATAGTTGCCAAGTAATTATTCTATACGATTTAGACATTGTGATATTATGCAAAGTTAGAAGGGTTGTTTAGATTCGGCCTCCACCAGTCACGCCAAATCTTTCGCACTCCAGTTAATTGGCTGGCGTTTTGGTCGCTAGCTTCTCGCCGAGGAATTGGTGTAAAATTGAACCGCCACCGCGGATCAAGCCTAGGCAAGCCAAAATTTTTGGCTCCCATTCCAAACGGACACACACAACACAATCAACACCAATTATTTGGTTGGGCAGGTGTTGGCTAAAAAATATATCCAAAATGCTTAAGTGTTAACAACGAAAAAACTGTACGATATAAGAACTTTATTACTCAAATAGCAGAGCTACAATCAGCAGCCAAAAGATCTGCTATGGCATTTGGGAGCATCCTGTAACCACAGGTAGGAGTGACATGTACCCAACTAGACACGAGTGATTTTAATTTTGTACTCCCTCAATAAAAAAATATATAAGCGTTTAGATCATTAGAATCTTGAATACAACCCAGAATGCAATAATTTTACATGTAATGTTCTCCATGGTAAAAAAGTATAGCTTGGGGTACAATACAAAAGAAGAGTATGGGGCGAACCAACATGTGGTTGAGATGGTTAGGTGGACAGTGGTATCCCCAACCTACCAGGGTTCAAATCATGGTGCTCGCATTATTTCTGGATTTATTTTAGGATTTCCGGCGATGCGCTTTCAGTGGGAGGAGACGTTCCCGTCGACGACGAGGCGTCTACGGTAGCTTCGTAAATCTCAAGATGATATGCCGGCTCAGTCTCTTAGAGGTGCTCATAGGGGTAGGGTGTGCGTTCATAAGGGTGAGTGTATGCGCGTGTATATGAGCGCTTGTGTCTGTATTGATGCTAAAAAAAGTATGAAATCAACAAAACGGGGTCAAAAAGTCCAAGGTCCAAACTGCCGAACGGTCGTCACAAAAGACCCGCCGCAGCGTGTAGTCGTAGACCGGTCGCCCATTTCCCTCCTTCCCTTCCCTCCCGCCCTCCTCGTCGACAGACGAGACGATTCCCGCTCCCTCCCGTCGTCTCCTCCTCCTCTCCCTCTGCTCGCGACCAACCGCCCTGCCCCCGCCGCCACATGACGCAGGACGGCCATGGGATGCCTCCTCGGTAAGCTCGCGGACGCGCCGGGCTCCTCCCTCTTCTTCCCCGCCGCCGTGACCGCGACCGGGACCGCCGGAGGGGGCGATGCCGAGGCGCAGCTCAGCGCGCCGGCGCCGGTGCACATCGCGGCCGTGAAGAAGGACGCCTCCGGGTGGCCGCTCTGGCTCTCCTCCGCCGCCGGCGACGCGCTCCAGGGCTGGGTGCCCCGCTCCGCCGACGCCTTCCAGAAGCTCGAGAAGGTGAGTGAGGAGCACTACTCTCCCTGATCCTCCCTCTGTCCCCTGCCGCTGCCTAGGGGCCTAGCTAACTCGTCCGGCCTTCTTTGGTGGTTGCTGCCGGAAAAGCTTGGCCTTTTCCCTCAGAAACGCCGATGCTGGCGCAGCGAGTGGTTGGGGGAAGCTTTTTGGGTGGTTTTGCTTCAATTTTGATTCACGATTTCGCTCTTCCGTGGTTGTCCTGCGTCTTGAACCAGTAATCAGATAGCTTGCCGTTCGAGTTCTTGTTGACAAGGAGTGCTTTCAAAGGAAAAAAGCCAACCTCTTTTGCGCAGCTGCAAAGAAGCAAGGAACAAGGGTGAGAGGACAAAAAAAAAGTGGTCATTGATGATGCCCTCTCCGTAGTTCAACACATAAACAAACCCCAAATTCCAAGAGCCGGGCCGTTAAACAAGAGCAGACACGAACAAATCCCGAGCTCTGTTCGGATTTAAGAAACCAGCAGCCTCGCTTTCCCTTTGATACTTTTTCTCTACTGTCGGCATCACAAGAATTCGTAGCAACTCCGAACGGAAAAATATATCGGCGAACAAAGTCAACCCGGCTGCTCGTATTCGGCGGAATGCTTGTTAATTACAGTTGGTTATCATCGCCGTCTAAGAAGAAACAGAGTGGAAGACGAGTTCTATTGTGTTCTATTTATTGTTAATCTGTTTTGGTTCTGAATTTTTTGTTTCTCTTTTGTGTGCGTGCAGATTGGGTCGGGGACGTACAGTAACGTGTACAAGGCGATCGAGGTGGAGACCGGGGCGGTGGTGGCGCTCAAGAAGGTGCGGGTGGATGGCGTCGGCGAGGCCGAGAGCGCGCGCTTCATGGCGCGGGAGATCGCCCTGCTCCGCCGCCTCGGCGAGCATGACAATGTCGTCCGACTCCACGGACTCGTGACGTCACGCCTCGCCACCGCGCCATCACTCTACCTTGTCTTCGAGTACATGGACCATGACCTCACCGGGCTCGTCTCCGCCGCCACGGCCTCCGGCGCACGCTTCACCTTGCCACAGGTACCTTCATCACTGAAACAATGGCATGCTCCTTCCTGAAAACCTTTGTCCAATAATAACTGAACATGTACGTGACGTGATGGTCTGCATTTACGTTGGCATAAAAACATGTTCCTTAAGTTTAATGGACTATGAAACTATAATCACAGACGACCTGTGCGAAGATTTGCATCCAAGATTGTTATACTTGTACGTGTTGAACCATGAAACTAAACCTTTCGGCGCCACTTCGACGAGATTGTTTTTTCATGGCCTTTCAAATTGTTTGGTATATTTTTCTAGAAAGGGTTGGGTTATTATGAGGAATGGAACTTCTTGCTTGCCTGGTTAAATGACATGCTTGAATTCTAATTGATGATGTGGCGAGTTGACATATTCCTGTGGTCTCTTGATAGTCAAATACTCCCTCCGTCCCGAAATAACTGTCTCAAGCTTAGTACAACTTTGTACTAGAACTAGTACAAAGTTGAACATATGACCACTACCAATGGTTGTATGTGTACCAATATGTAAAAAAAAACTAAACAGAAGAATAATTGTTGTATGAAAAGTATTATAAAAAAGTCCAAAATAATGCTAGTCTCTGCAGAAATCTAGTCTAGATTCTAGAACACACAGCTGGTTAAGTAGGATATACAGTTATTTCGAGGCATAGTCAGTCAGAACTAAAATTTGGTACTCTCTGAATGGAACCAAATTTCTCTTCTGGAACAGAAGAAGAATCATTGACAGATCGTCTGTAAAGAATTTTGCCTTTGGCTTTTTGTAAAGATGCAAACAAATCAGTCACTCAGAAACACCGTGATGATGTGGCCCTGGAAATCTGTTGGACTACCGAAGTAGAGTATTTTTACTAGGTTTGAACTTTGAACACGGCTTCCAGTCCAATTGACAAAGACATGCACTCCATGTTTTTAGTTCACACATCGCTGCTTACAAGAATTCCCTTCACATGTTTCAACTGTCAACATTGGCTGCTATCAACTCATTTCATTTAGAATTGTCAAAAGTGTGAAAATGCCTTTCTTTTCCCAAAAGCAAGGCTCCAACAAGGACCATCTTTTTCCATGGACACACTTATGATATCACTGAATTGTGTTTCTTTTCTCATGAAGTGTAACTATCTGTTTGCAGGTGAAGTGCTACATGAAACAGCTACTGTCTGGAATCGAGCACTGCCACAACAAGGGTGTCCTTCACCGCGACATCAAGAGTTCGAACCTGCTTGTCAGCGAGGACGGGATCCTTAAGATAGCTGACTTCGGATTGGCCACTCATTTTGATCCTGATAACCCGCGGCCCATGACTAGCCAAGTGATCACACTTTGGTATCGTCCACCTGAACTAATGCTAGGTGCCACTCACTACAGCGTTGGTGTTGATCTTTGGAGTGTGGGTTGCGTGTTGGCGGAACTCCTTCTCGGCGAGCCTATATTCCCCGGGCGAACAGAGGTTGGTCCATACGAAATACGAGCTTCGCATAATTATTTGCAGAAAATCGCAAACTTGGAGACTAACTTGTGCTCATCAGGTGGAACAACTTCACAAGGTTTTCAAGCTATGTGGTACTCCAGCAGACGATTACTGGGATAAACTGAAGTTACCACATCATACATTCAAGCCATATGAGCGGTGTATGGCTCAGAAATTTAAGGACCTGGAACCATCTACCCTATCACTTCTAGAGACTCTCCTATCTATTGACCCAGATATGAGAGGCACCGCGACTGATGCTCTAAACAGTGAGGTTAATACTACTGTCACCTTCAAGGCATCTACTTTGAACCAGTAGAAAGTCGGTCTTAACTGGAAACACTGCTAAATTCAACCGAAAGCTAGAGATAAAAACAGAGTAGCTACTATGCAATAAGATAATTTATGATTGATCACGATACATGGATTAAACTGAGTTGGCATTGATATAATATGTTAGATATATAGTTTCAAATAAGAGCCAACAAATAATAGTCTTCTCCTCACAAGTGTTTACTGTTTGCTGTGAATTCAGTTCTTCAGGACAGAACCATATGCCTGTGAACCATCAAGCCTTCCCCGGTACCCGCCGTGTAAAGAAATGGATATCAAACTGAAGTATGAGAAGCACAAAAGGTCCTGCTCAAACCTTTCGAACTTATTTCTGCTATTCTCTCATGTCACCAGAAGCTTCAACATCCGTTATAATATATCTTTCAGAAAATTGAGGGCGAACGGGTCGGTAGAACGCCAGACAAATACCAGAAAGCCCATCTCACAAAATCATGGTCGCAGAAGGGTATTTACTCCAGATGTCAATAATAAGCCACATGGAAACCCAAAGGTATGTTCCCCTTCTTTTCCTTCTGCAAGAATTTTGTCTCAACTGTATCGTTTGGAAGTTACCACTATGCCTAGACAGAAAAAATTGCATTCCTACTTCTTGTTTCCTCTTCAATTGACGCTTTTTATCAAAGGTCTATTTAGACATATGATAGGTCTATGACTAAAAGGCAAATGTTTTTATTGTTCTCTAGATACCAAGACTGGTGACAAGTACAAGCACGACCAAACTCGAGAGATTTCCTCCGCCGCATCTGGATGCATCAATTGGTCATAGCATAGATTCCTCAGCCGATGTAACAACCAACGAGTTCTTCTCATCATCGGTTGTGGAGCTAAAGAAAATGCCGAGCCTACTATTTGGTCATGTGAAATCTTACCTGAACAGCCCGAAGAAGGGAATGCACAAAGCGAAGCCAAGCCTCACGATGGCGCCTTCCACGGTTCTCATAGGTGCATTCCGGCTGTACTCGCTTGGCCATCCGATGGAGGTGAGAAGAAAGAATAGGGATCAGCTCAGAGCCAAAGGAAAATTCCCAGTAGGTTTAGTCAAATGACAAGCTAATTATGTCCCTCTTTTCTAATCTTTTTTTTTTCTTCTTCTTCTTTTCTTACATCCCCTGGTCACAGTAGCTGTTCGTCTTAGTACACGATTGATAGGCTATACTTGTATAGTTAGAGAGCATAATAAAGTAGAGTTGCGAACAATGATTCTATGTACATATGAGATTTCACCAGTGAGCAGTGCAGATAACTGGAAATGGTCTTAATCTTGGGAAATGCTTGCTTCCGACCCTCTAGCATTCAAGAACTGATAAAAATTCCCAGAAGAGGAGGCTTGCATGAACAGTTTTCCAAACTAGTATGCATATCCATTTTTCTGCAACACTAACCAGTAATCCTTCTCTAATGAACAAAAGGAGCACTCACACACTGAGGCTCCACGAAACCAGTTGCTCATATGCAGGGTTAGCTCACAAACAACAACCAAGATTAAGTACATAAAATTAACGTCGCAAAGCATCATCGGAGGTGACTGAATCATCCACATTACACATAAACTGTGAAGAACGCAAGCATTGTCTTCAGAGATAGGGCTCTGCAGCAACAGCAGCTGGTGGAGCGGCACCGGGACGGCGGGGAGTTTTCGCAGCAGGAGGATGAGGAGGAGGAGGAGCTGAAATTCTCTTGCTGTGACAGACGATAAAGCTGTGCAGCGCGCCGACGACCGTCTGGCCTCTGACCTTCAGCCACCCATCCTTGCATTTGGGCAACTGCGTTGCGTGTCAGAGGGATTCAGAGTAGCAGAGTAAGCCATTGGTGCATTTGCTAATGCTGAGTTTGCTGAGATGCCTACCTCGCCGGAGCATTGTGGAGGGTCGTTCTTCCTGACCGCCAGAGTCGTATCTGCAAGGATTCAAAGTGTCAGCTGAATGCACCTGAATGAAACTTGTGTGATGCAGAGCAAGCAAGCAACAATGACAGGAGAAGGGGAAGGAGAACAAATTACACGTGGTAGCACTGGCGAATTCGTCGCCGTGGTCTCCATCCGCGTTTTCATCGGCGCCGAGGTCGCCGTCCGCGTTTTCATCGGCGGCCTCGGCCACCAGAGCGTCGACCCGGGCCGCCTTCTGGCAGTAGATCCGGAAGCTGGGAGATCCCGGCAGCGGCTCCGTGTCTTCCTCATCCTTGGGCTCTGGCGCCACCTTACGCCCGTTTCTGCTCACATCCGCCTCCGATGCCGACGCTCGCACCGAAGGATCCTGGGGAAGCGCCGCCAGGGGGTCGGGGGCCCCGCTGTGCCCCGGCGCCCGGTCCCGCCTCCGCCGCTCGGCCCTGTCGGTCGACGCCGCGGACCCCATCGCGAGCGAAGGGGAGGGTGAGCGAGAGGGGGACGACGGGGAGCTGCAGCACGGACGGAGGCGCCATTGCGCGCGTGTCCTTAGTACCGGAGGCGCGCGAGCGGCGGCGAGGGGTTCGCGGGGGTGCGGAGCCCAAATTTGGCGGGGAAGGGGGTGACGTGGCTGATGACAGGTGGGTCCCGCGGCTCCC